GGGCATAAAGACCCAATATTGTAAGTATGAAAAATTTCCCTAAAGTAATTTATAATGTGAGGCTACCCAAGCCAAAATTTCAGTGGAAAATTGGGAGTATTTGGACCCAATAACTCCTAAGTTCATTTGGGAGAATAAACTTGAGAAAGCTGGGGAATATCTAAAAATAATAATAATGAAGGAGAACTTGCCTTATGTAGTGTTAAAATATACTATAAAGTCATAGTGATTAAAATGGTGTGGTTCTGTTGCTGGACAGATAGAAATAGTATAGACCAGAAACAGACCTAAGTTTATGTAAGAATTTCATGGATGACATGTGGATTGACCATCCATCCCAATTTGTTGGGGATTGAGGGGTTTCCTGGGACATAGGACTTTCAGTTAAAACTGAGAAGGTTGGTCACCCTAAGGCATGAGAAAAAGAATAGTCTATTATTTTCTTATATAGCAAAGGGTATTAGAATACTTGAGTAAAGTAGTGGTACTCAAACTTTACTATACATTGGAATTATCTGGGGAATCTTGATAACTACTGACACATGGCTCCTACCTGAGATGCTCCAGGTTCATGGGTATCAGGTATGACTTGGGCATCAAGAGTTTTAACAGGTAACAAAGTTTGAAAATTGCCGAGCTAACTATTTGGGGGAAAACTAAGCTGTTCTATATCTTATATGTGTTTACTTTTCCAATGAGTTAAATATTTAAATGCAAAGAATAAAGAATGCCACATGGTGACCAGATTTGCCTGCCTCATGGGAAGATGCTTGGCCCCTCCCACAAGAATTCTGGAATCCCTGCAGCTAAGGGTGGGTGCAACACACAGACTGGGGAGTTTCAGGGGATCACCTCTTTCCTGTGGCTCCACAGGGGCAGACATTTTTTTCCTAGAAGCAAGCGGAGCTAGCTGAGGATAGTCCATCTCTGTCCATACCTAAAAAATAGAGACACCTTCTCACATGTCAACAATGAAGTCCCAGATGGCCAAGCTAACTGCTGCCAGCTCACCAGAAGATCACTCCCACTTTATCTAATCCTGCCCAGTTATCCACTACTCACTGAGAGGCCTGCACTGGTGTCACATGGACTCTTTGTCATCAGCAGGAGCAAAGTCAGGTCACATGCTACATCTTACTGAAAACTAAATTCATGTTTTGGAAGGTCAAATGGAGGAAATACTTGATACCACACAGAAAAAGTATGATGAAATGGGTGCTGTGAGTATAAAGTTAAGTGATTTGGAGGACAAATCTCAGAGCTATTCCAGAAGGAGAAAGAGGTCATGAGGGAGAGAAATAAAAGAGAAATAGAAGTAAGCTTCTGGTAGCTAAAGTAAGATGTGGGACTTTATATGGAAAGAGCACACCAAATGAATCCCACATAAAATTAATGAAAAAGACCTTCATCCAGACATATCCTGATGAAATTTCTGAACTTTTCTGAAAGTGTCTATAAGCTTCCAGATAGACGGAATCGATTTTTATACCAAGGTGAAACAAATCAACTTAGTATTAAACTGCATATCTATAAGCTAAGAAAATGGCAAAACAGTGTTAACAGACTATTGCAAATAAGGATGCAATCCAAGAACCTTATACCCAGCAAAGATGTCATTCTGTGTGAGACAAGAGCCATTTTATAGACACAGAAGGATTACTACCTATCTGAACAAAATGACTTTAACAATGACTCTAATAAAATAAAAGTGAAAGCAACAAATACTTCAAGAGAAAGAAATACAAAATTTATAGGAAGCAGTAGTGAGTGATGAATTGTGTAATAATAGTACAAATTATGTGGTTGCTGGTAGTGCTGTATACCTGGAATAAATTATTTTGAATGATAAATAAATCTTTTGAAGGCTTAGGGAGAGGACAGGAAACACTGGTGGAAAATAAAATTCTGGTTCTATTTTAATTCCCCTACAATATCTTCAGTGTTTTAGTTTTTAAAAATTTGGATAATGTCTTAATAGGATTGGAGAATGTTTCATGTTACTGTAATATGTGTATTTTCGTCCTTACATCTTACATTGGCCTAGAGGATGTTTTACATAGGTGTGGGTATACATATGTCTATGTGCATATTATAAATTTTATCTTTCAAGTGACAGAGAATTTCAAGTTCAGATAGTAGGAGGTACTGGGTACTTTCGTTTGTTCTCTAACAAGAATGTGAATCCCTACAGTATGCATGGCTTGGTGTCAGGGCCTGGGGAGAAAGAGGGATGCTGTAGAGATGGTGCCACTCCTCAGGGAATAAGAACTGTGCGCTCACATGCCGGTAACTGATGGCACCATCTGCTCTCCGCCATCCTGGCAGTCAAGATGTGAAAATCTGGTTGCTTTTAGCCATTGCGTTTAGCACATACTTCTGAAGGGCCATTTTGGGGGATGCTGTTCCTTGAACGACCACAACTGTGTCCAGAAGAGTTGTGGTTGTTAAGTTCCTCATAACACTTTTTCAGCTTGACCCTTTGGTTGGCTATCCCCTGTGTATATATGAGACATCTGGTATAAAATCGTGTGTTATCTCTGAGGCATCTCAGTGTTCTTGATGTGTGCTCTGGGCTACCAGTGTTTTAATGAATACTGACCCCCTTGTTCTCTTCCTGGGAACGGCTCCTTGGGATCGTCCTGCCAGTTTCAGGGTTTAGGGATCTCAGTGACAGTTTTCCTAGTGTGGGACATCTTTGTAGTTTGCAGGCCATTCTGGGCAAGTGCTATGAATCTCTCAGCATCCTAGTAATGCTACCAGCGTGCAGTCATTTGCGAGCCCCAGGTGGATGGCAGAGTAAATGCAATTTCTTTAGGTGGTGAGCTTCCTTGGAGTGAATTCATGCACTGGAAGCATGTGGCTCCATCAGTAATTTTGCTCACCCTCTGTGTGTCTGGACTGGATGAGGCAATTATCTCCTTCTCAGTTCTTCTGGGAATATTCATAATGCTGTGACTCTGACCATCTGGTAAAAACAATCTCATAACAAGATGCATTTTGGACACCACTACAAGCAAGGTCCTTTGGAGGATGCACAGTGTGGAAGACCTTGAGTTTATGTACCAAACTAAAGAGGCATGATGGAAGGAAGAGAGGACAGGGAACACTGGTGGAAAATAAACTCCTGGTTCTGTTTCAGTTCTCCTACAATATTCTCAGTGTTTTAATTTTAAAAATTTGGATAATGGCTGAATAGGATTGGAGACTGCTCCTTGTCACTATAATATGTGTATTTTGGTTCTTACACCTTATATGGGCCTGTGAGGCGAGTTCAGCCTGGGCAGTGACTTCCCTGGGCCGCCCATCACTCCTCTTCCGTCTTCACTCCCTGCTCCCATCCGACTCAGATCCCATTGCTTTTACCACCTCAGTGACTGCTGGTCCGCTTCTCCTCTTTCATCTCCACTGTTTTAGTTTAAGCCCTCCATTCTTTTTTAAAAATTACAGCAAAATAGACATACCATAAAAGTTACCATTTTCAATGTTTTTAAGTGTTGCAAGTTCTCATTACTTAACTGAACTACTGGAGTAAGTGGGATTTTTTTGTTTTTGTTTTAGTAAATGAACTTTGATGTGAACGTAAAGGTATGTTTAATGTAAAATTACAATTTAAAGAATAAAATGAACATTTGGGGAACTACTCAGCTTAAGAAATAGAGCATTAAGCAAATTTTTGAATGCCCCTTTCTGTTTTCCCAATGCTAGCCCCTTTCTTTCCTTTAGAGGATAGATTAGCCTTTCCACCGGTCTTCCTTCCTCCAGTCTCTGTCCTGCTGCTGGGCAGAGATGGGATTAAAAGAAAATCCTACATATGTGTCACTCGCCTGCTGACAATTGCCCAATGACTGCATGTGCCTTAGTTTCTGTTGCTATGACAGAATCCTGGAGACTGGGTAATTCATAAAGAATGAAACTTCATTTCTCACAGCCTGGAGACTGGGAAGTCCAATATCAAGGTGCTAGCATCTGGTGAGGGCCTTCTTGCTATGCCATCCCACGGTGGAAGGTGAGAGAGTGGGAGAGCAAGAGCTCACTTTTACAACAAACTCACTCTCAGTGAACTCACTCCCTAGATAACGACACTAATCTATTCATAAGGGCTCTGCCCTTGTGACCTAATCACCTCTTAAAGGTCCTCCCCCTAACACTGTTACATTGGGGATTAAGTCTCTGACACATTAACTTTGGGGGAAACAGTCAAGCCATAGCAATGTGGCTTGGGGGATCCAGTGCAGAGGCCTGGGCAGGCCCTCTTCAGGTGTGGCTCCTGGGCTTTCTTCAGTGCCCTGTGATACCAGGTCACATGCCCTGCAGGCTGCAGCTGCACTTTCTGTTCCTCTTCTCCCCTGGCTGGCCAATGCTGTCCTCTCTCCTGATCTACCATGCTGGGGACTAGTGTTGAACTTATCCGCATGTTGCTCAGCCTAGATGATTCCTGTGCATCTGGTTCCTTGGTGAACACTGGTTTGGAGGAGGAGGGAGAGGATGGGACAAGCCTGTAGGGAGTGGGCCCAAGATGGGCTCCCAGAAGTTGTGAATTTAGACTGGGGAGAGGTAATGTCCCTTGTCACTGGTCCTTAACATGTCTTCTGGATGAAAGCATCTTTTTGTTTGTTTGTGAGCAAACAGCCTGATTTTAGGATTATTTGTCTTGGTCACCTGGATTACCCAAACTAAGAGGGCATTTCACAGAAGTCAGGAATGAACTGGTATGTTCTGGGGAAGAGGGAGCACACTGGCGAACCGTCCATGCTTCCTTTGCCTTCTTTTCCTGGAGCTCTGTGTGCCCCCTTTCTCGTTGGCATGAATGTGGTTGTTGCTGATGAATGAGTCAGCTGGGTTGGGCATGTCACATTATCTGAACAGATGTGCGGTCACACTGCTCTGAGAAAATGGGGTGGGGAGGCGTTCTGGTGGCTGGGAGCAGCTCTGTGTGAATCTCAGGTTGGCTGTGCTTCTTGGGGTTCTGATTCTGTTCTTTCCAATGTTCTTCCCCACAGTGGCTGCCTCCAGGTGATGATGGCCGTGTGAGCTTCGCCATGGCCCACCGGAAGCGTCAGAGCACAGCAAGCAACATGTTGGACCACAGGGCGAGGCCGGGCCCTATTCTGCATGACCAAGAGCCCGAGAGTGAGGATGCTGAGTTGCCCTTGGAGGGGTACGTGCCCAAGGGCCTGGAGCTGGCCACCCTGCGGCCTGAGAGCCCCACGCCTGAGGAGCAGGAGTGCCATAATCACAGCCCCGATGGGGACTCCAGCTCCGACTATGTGAACAACACCTCTGAGGAGGAGGACTATGATGAGGGCCTCCCTGAGGAAGAGGAGGGCATCACCTATTACATCCGCTACTGCCCTGAGGATGACAGCTACCTGGAGGGCATGGACTGCAATGGGGAGGAGTACCTGGCCCACAGCACGCACCCTGTGGACACCGATGAGTGTCAGGAGGCAGTGGAGGAGTGGACGGACCCGGCGGGCCCACACCCCCATGGCCACGGGGACGAAGACAGCCAGGACTACCTGGAGGGCCACCTGCCCATCGTGGAGGACGAGCCCTCCATCCTGGAGGCCCACGACCAGGAAGAAGATGGCCACTATTGTCCCAGCAAAGAGGGCTACCAGGACTACTACCCTGCAGAGGCCAACGGGAATGCGGGCAGCGCCTCCCCCTACCGCCTGAGGCGCGGTGACGGGGACATGGAGGACCAAGAAGAGGACATCGACCAGATCGTGGCTGAGATCAAGATGAGCTTGAGTATGACCAGCATCACCAGTGCCAGTGAGGCCAGCCCCGAGCATGGGCCCGAGCCGGGGCCTGGGGACTCCACGGAGGCCTGCCCGCCCAGGGAAGCCGGCCATGGCCCCAGCAGGCACGAGGCAAGGCCCAAGTCACTGGACCTCCCTCCTGAGGCCAAGTACCCTGGAGACCCCCAGAGAGGCTTCAAGACCAAGAGCAGGACCCCAGAGGAGAGGCCAAAGTGGCCCCAAGAGCAGGTAGGCCTCTGACTGTCCCCAGGGAAGGGGCAGAGGGGTCCGAGGGCAAGGGTTGTTCTGCTGTAGCCCCCGCAGGTGCTGAAGCCCGGGCAGCGGGAGGGATCAGGTGCCTTATGGTTCAGAAGGTGAGCTGAGTTCTTCATCTGTTCAGTTGTGTGGCATGTTGTGTGGATGTTCTGGCCACTCTTATGAAGACCCCTCAGATTCAGGAGTAAATACCAGGGAAGTCTCATCAAGGCTGATTGGCAGCTAGTGTGTCTCCCAGAAGAGGCCTTCCTACTCCCACCCCAGAAGAGGTTTGGTTTCTTGCCCTATGCCTTAGATCTGCTCATGGTGGGAGTGTGTGTGTGGCTACCCCCAGTCTCAGGTGGTTTTCTTAGGCCAGCAGAGCCTCAGCAAGGATGCTAGATGCTGTGTTCATGCACTGCCGCAGCAGTGGTCGGATGGCCCAGGGGTGGGATGGCCCAGGGACAGGGTGGCCCAGGGGCAGGGTAGCTCAGGGGCAGGGTGGCCCAGGGGCCGGGGCAGCAGCCTGAATTTCACAGTGGCTACATCTCTGAAAGTCAGGAGCCTTGACCTGATGGGCAGTTAGCTGTGAATAACTACTTTGCAAATGATTATTTGAAAGTTTGACAAAATCTTAGAGAAGAAATGCCTGCTAATGAGGGAAATGGATGTAAGCATAACTGTATTTTTAAAAGTATAATTAAGTAAGCATGTATTCTAATAAACGCACTTTAAAAGCTGCATTCTCCCCTCCCCTCCAACAAAATGAAACCTCCGCTGTGAGTGTATAAGGAAGATGTGATTATTGGATTTGTATAAACTCTTGGTCAACTATGTGGACTGCTTTCATTTTTTTTTTTTTTTGAGTTGGAATCTCACTCTGTCGCCCAGACTGGAGTGCAGTGGCC